TTTATCTCAGGATTTGTTGATGGAGAAGGTTGTTTTAGAATTTCTTTTACTAAGAAAGATAACTTGGTAGGTTGAAGAGCCCAATTATTTTTCCAAATTACTTTACATCGAAAAGATGAACTTTTATTAGAAAGTATCAAAAATTACTGAGGCGTAGGAAAAGTATACAAGTCGGGAAAAGATACTCTTCAATATAAAATCCAATCTTTTACTGAAATTGAGACTATATTAAATCATTTTGATAAATATCCTCTTATTAGTAAAAAGCGTGCAGACTATGAATTATTTAAAAATGCATATTATATTATTTTAAATAAAGAACATCTTAATAAGTCAGGGTAGCTTGCGCAGTAAACTTGTTGCTTTAAGAGCTTCTTTAAACTTAGGTTTGCCTGAACAATTGAAAACTGCTTTTCCAGATATTGTACCTATCACTAGACCTTTAGTAGAAGATATAAAAATTCGAGATATCAACTGATTGATTGGATTTGTCTCAGCTGAAGGTTGTTTCCTGGTAGGGTAGCTTGCGCAGTAAATCTAGTAGTTATTCAGCAGGATATCAAGTATACTTGACATTTATAATTACTCAACACATTAGAGACGAACAATTAATGAATAGTTTAATAGAATATCTAGGGTGTGGTAATATAAATAAGAAGAAAGAGGTTTTTGAATATCAAGTTTCTAAACATTCAGACTTAACGGAAAAGATAATACCTTTATTTAATAAATATCCTATAATAGGACAAAAATATGAAGATTTTAAAGATTTTGAGAAAGTAGCTATTTTGATGGAAAATCGTATACATTTAACCCAAACCGGAGTAGATGAAATACGAAGTATTAAAGTAAATATGAACAAAGGTAGAGAATTGAATTAAAATTATTATTAATTTGTATGACAAATCTGTTTAATCACAGTTAGTGCCGAATTGTGATAGCCATGTTAAAGGGTACCTAGACGGTCAATATAGCTTCTAAAATGTTAGTACTTGACTAGAGTTTGATATAAGAGGGTAGTACTTGAGGAGGAGAGATGAAATTCTATTATACCAAAGGGACTCGGTAAAGGCGAAGGCAGCCCTCTATGTAAAAACTGACGTTGAAGGACGAAGGCACAGAGCACAAACAGGATTAGATACCCAAGTAGTCTTTGCAGTAAATGATGAATGTCATAGGTTAGATTAAGCTTTAATAAATTAGTTTCGAGCCTTTGGCTGCAGTAATGAACTAACTATTAAACAATATTTAGTCTATAAATGAAAGTGTAAGCATTCCACCTCAAGAGTAATGTGGCAACGCAGGAACTGAAATCACTAGACCGTTTCTGACACCAGTAGTGAAGTATGTTGTTTAATTCGATGATCCACGAAAAACCTTACCACAATTTGAATATTTTACAGGAGTTGCACGGCTGTTTTCAGTTAATGTTGTGAAACTGTGGTTTCCATGAAATTAACGCAATCCCTGGCTTTATTTTTTAAGGCGTAAGCTCTACGATAAAGCATTTGATCCAGGATTTGGAAAGAAAAAGGGGACAAAGACAAGTCATCATGGCCTGCTGAATGATCTAGGAAATCATGATCGTGGGATAAACTATCAAACTCCGGGGACACCCTAAAGTTTCTGGTACTAAGCCATATATGAAAATATATGAGTGGCTGAACTAATTACTCAGGTATAGTAACAAGCCAGAAAATGATTGAAAAAGAAATGGGTTATCGCGGATCTAAATCAATAGTATTTAGAAATACTGTTGTAAAAGAGCAACGAGTAGACGGTAGTTACGTTAAGGCGCAAGCTCTTATTTTAGCGTTAAGGTATACTCTAACGGGTTTCGAAAGAAATTATCAAATCAAAATCCTTTCTAACCAAATAAATCAAATAAGGACGTATTCAGCCAATAACATTTCCCAGAAAAAAGATGTAACGGGTTCAATTAATCCTTGATTCATCACAGGTTTTACTGATGCAGAAGGGACTTTCTCTATATCAATTTTACAGAATAAAAATTATTGTTTAGGTTGAAGAGTTAAGCCTGTATTTGCTATAGGATTGCATATTAAAGACATAGATTTATTAGAAAATTTTAAATCTTTTTTTAAAGTAGGTAATATACATAAACATAGTGAATATTCTTTACAATATAGAGTAGAATCTATTCAAGATTTACAAGTAATTATACGTCATTTTGATAAATACCCACTTATATCTTGTAAAAGAATTGATTATGATTTATTTAAAGAAGCTTTTTTAATTGTTAAGGAAAAGCAACATTTAAATCTTACAGGTCTTTTAAAACTAGTAGGTTTAAAATCATCTCTAAACCTAGGTTTAACTAATAAACTTAAACAAGAGTTTGATACTTGAAAAGATTTAGAAGTAGCTAGACCTGAATATATATTCAAAGGTATACCAGATCCAGAATGAATGGCCGGATTTTCTAGTGGAGATAGTAGTTTTAACATTAAAATAAGTAAATCTTTAACTAGTAAATTAAGTACAAGAATTCAGTTAAGATTTTCTATAGATTTACATATTAGAGAAAAAGAATTAATTAACTCTTGTAAAAAGTTTTTCAATTTATGTGTAGACATGCGCAAGCTAGCTAATGTAAATAAATATGTTTATGTAAAAAGTAACTCTGTGAGTTTACAAATAACTAATCTCGAGGTTATTTCTAATATAATTATACCTTTCTTTAAACAATACCCTATTAAAGGTAAAAAGAGTTTAGATTTTATAGATTTTGAGAAAGTTGTGACAATGGTTAACAATAAGCAACATTTGACTCAACAAGGGTTAAATCAAATATTAATTATAAAATCTAGAATGAATCAGTAAATTTGTTTGATTTATTTGTATGATAAATTTGATCGCTGTGTGATATTGTGGGCTATAGACGTGCCACATATTCCTAGACAAAGAGATGCAAAAATGTGAATTTAAGCTAATCTCTAAAAATAGGATATAAATTTTAAGGATTGTAGTCTGAAACTCGACTACATGAATAAGTAATTACTAGTAATCGTGAATCACCATGTCACGGTGAATTAACCTTGGATTGGTACTAACCACTCGTCACATGCTGAAAAGAGTATGCGCAATAAGTTTGCTTTTTCAATGATCAGTAAAAATAACAAGCAGGTTCTATATCCTATTATTGGAAATCTTCGTATGTGTGACTCTAATTAGTGTTAAGTCGAAATACGGTTCGCGTAGTGGAAGTTGCGCGGGAATAATGAATATTAACAATAATTATATGTTTTAGTAATTTATCTTTTGATGATAGTTACTTAAAACAAAACTTGGAAATTGGTTGTATTTGGTTCGAATCCAAAACAAGTTTAGTAAATTTTTTTTGATTAATGCGTTATTTTTTTTTTTAATAAAATGCGCAAGCTATAAATTTACTATGCGTTATTTTTTTTTAAAAAAAAAAAATTTACTATAACACGCCACTGATGTTTAACACTTTAATCTTTAAATATAAAAGTGAATTAATTAAAATTAATCCTTAGTAAATTTTTTATAGCTTGCTATGAAATAACAATGCGCAAGCTATAAAATAACTGATCCTTAGCTTTTTTAGCTATAAAAAAATAATAGCATCCTAGCTTGCGCAAGGATATGGATATCAAAAGTATATATAAATTGCTTGCTTGCTTGCTTGCTTGCTTGCTTGCATGCTTGCTTGCTATGAATGCGCAAGCTAGGGGAGCCTTTATTTAACAACAACAGGTATAACTAAAGAATAGTCCGCTGCAGCAAGAAGAGCGGCTTAGTTATTTCATAGCAAGCTACTAATGCTAGTTATTCTACTATTATTATTAAATAAAAAAGTAATAACATAAAACCTTTTCAGTAGTTTATACAGAAAAATATCAAATAATTTGTGGAAGTATCTATCCTAAGGATAGGGATGCGTAGCATAAATTTTTACGTTAATTATATATAATATATTTTATTTTATTTTATTATATAAAGGAGGGTTCCTTTATCGGCAAGAAGGGTTGAGCTGTAAACTCAATAGCTGTTGCTTGTAAGAGTTCGAATCTCTTGTCTCCTAGAATTAGTAACTTAATTAGGTAAAGGATTTCCCTGTCACGGAAATAGATGTCGGTTCGATTCTGATCTAATTCGTAATATATCTTATATTCACTTATCCTAGAAAAACATAGGTTGTATAGTTTTAGCTTTAGCTTGCTATTATACAAGTCAGGCATACTTCGTAAAGGCTGCAGCTCTAGCGGATTTTTTTTGTAGCTAAAGCTACAAAAAAAGCACATAAAAACTAAGATAAAGTCTTCTATAGGTAGGATAAGGCACAAGCTACTTTCCTAAGAGGAAAAGTATCCATAGGTAAGGTAATGTATTTGCTATATACTGTGCTACTCGCACCTAGGCGTTCGACTCGCCTCTTTTCCGTTAGAAGATTATTTGCATCTTTTTAACTTATAAATTTAGTAGCTCCGGACGAAGAATATAAAAAAGATATTTAATCCTGACCAGATAACAGGATTTGTAGATGCTAAAGGCTGTTTTTACATAAGATTAGCTAAAGATAAAAATTACAATAAGGATGATTTGTTCAAGCTTGTTTTCAAATACAACTTAATTATAAATATTAAGACTTATTTAAATGAAGTAGGTATTATTTATATAACTAAAGATAAAAAGTCTTGTGTATATCAAGTCAATGCTTTTAATAGTATAACTAATATCCTAAATAGCTTTATCTTGCTATTTTTTTTATGCAGTGCAGCATACTTCAGGCTGATCCTTAGCTTTTTAGCGCAAGCTATTAGTAGGCTAGCAAGCTAAAGCTAGCCTTTAATTTTATAACAATAGATAGATATTTACCTTTTTTCAAGATAATAGCTAATTATCTTATAACTATGCGTTATTTTTTTTTTTAATAAAAAAAAAAATTTACTATAAATAGACGGATATTTAGTGTTTTATATATTTAGGTGTTCAATTCACCTCTTTACCGTAAAGCCTCTATAGCTCAACGGTAGAGCATGATACTGTTAATATCATGATAGATGTTCGATTCATCTTAGGGGCTTTTAAATGAATGTTCGAAACTGTATTTTTTTTTTATTACTTGTATATATGACTAACACAATAAGAAGTAATTTTCAAGATCATCCTTTCCATTTAGTGTCACCTTCGCCATGACCTTTTGAGTGATTTGGGAAATCACTAATATATAGGGTTAAACTGTCAAATTCCGGGGACACCTTAAAACCATTGATACCAAATTTAGTATGAAAATACATAAATGGATGATCTAATCAATCATGTACGGTAATAAGTCAATGGATTCTCGAAAGTTGAATAGGCAATCGCGGATCTAAATCAGTCTTTTGTAACATAACATGTAACTATTTGTGTACACTGGCTGTAAAAGAGCAACGAGTAAACGGCAGTTGTATAGAAAAAAATTCTATATTAAAATGTACTCTAATGGGCTTCGAGAGAAGCTATCAAGTCAGAATCCTACCTAAACAAATAATTATATTAAGGAGTTATTCCACCTTAGATATTAAGAATAGCTTGCGCAGCAAATTTGAAAATATTCTAAACCCTTGATTCGCCACAGGAATCGTAGACGCAGAAGGATGCTTTACACTCAATATTAACAGACGTACTGGAGGTAAAACAGGCTGGGATGTAAAGCCTTGCTTTACAATTGTATTACATAAAAAAGATGAAATAATTTTAAAAAAACTACAAAGTTTATTGGGAGTAGGCCATATATATAGGCATGGTCAAAGAGGAATTCAATTTCAAGTAAATTCAATAACTGAATTACAATCAATAATTAAACATTTTGATCGTTACCCTTTATTAACTAAAAAACGTATAGATTTCATTTTATTTAAAGATATAGTAAATATTATTTTTAATAAAGAACATTTAACTGAAGAGGGTATACTAAAACTTGTGTCAATTAGAGCTTCATTAAATTTAGGTTTATCTGATAGATTAAAACAACAATTTCCAAATATAAAGGCTGTACCTAGACCACAAGTAGAACCTAATTATTCATCTATACAAGAGCAGTGATTAGCAGGATTTACTACAGGTGAAGGTTGTTTTTTTGTAAAAATAACTAAAGCTAGTACAAAAATAGGAGAAAGAGCCCAGTTAGTATTCCAGTTAAATCAACATATTAGAGATGAAGAATTGATAAGGAGCTTAATTCAATATTTAAACTGTGGTGGAGTAACTCTAAATAGTGCCTCTGTAGATTATCGTGTTACAAAATTAGAAGACAACCTAACTAAAATAATACCATTTTTTGAAAAAAATCCTATAATAGGAGTAAAATATAAAGATTATCTTGATTTTATTCAAGTAGCAAGATTAATGAAAGATGGACAACACTTAACGTTAGAAGGTTTTGAAAAAATAAAAAAAATAAAATTAAACATGAATAGAGGTAGAACTTAGTTTAATATAATAAAATTGCATGGTAAATCTGATTAACATGTTATACACAAGTATTTCATTATTTACTTTAACAGTAAATGCAGCATTATCTATGCATTTATTTAATAACAGTTATATCTTTTTATACTTAGCCTTAGGTACATTAATTGCAACTATGACTTTGTGATTCAGAGATATAATATCAGAAGGTAGACCAATCCTTTCTCATTTTAATTTAAATATAGCTAAAGCCATATCATTAGATGATATTAACAAAACATTAATTAATTATAAATGTAATAACAATATTACAGTCTTTAAAGGAAATGATTTAGGTCATTATTTAGCTGGTCTTTTAGAAGGTGATGGCCATATTTCCTTACCTTTTTTAGGTAATACTACCTTAAATCGAGTACTAGCTTGCGCACCCTAGAATAGTATTCACTTCACATAAGGATAATTTAGGTATGTATGCTTTCTTCAATCAGAATTACAGGCAGGAAATATAGGGCGTTTTCAATCTTCAGGTAATAATATAATACGTTATATTATAGGAGATATAAAAAGTATAATTTATATTACTAATTTAATACATGGGAAATTAATGCGTTATTTTTTTTTTTAATAAAAAAAAAAATTTACTACACCTAAAAATAAAAGATTTAATGACTTGATTCAGTTCATAAATACTAAATACGATTTAAATATACCTGAAAGTAATTTATATAATGGAAATTATATAGAGAATAGTTGATTCACAGGATAGCTTTAGTATATTTTTTTATATAGAATAAAAAAATAACGCTGCACAGAAGCAGATGGGCATTTTGGAATAAAATACATAGAAAAGAAAGGTAAATCAGAAACACGTAAAAGATCTGAGAGCGAAAGTATTTCGTATCCCTTGCGCAAGCTAGGGATTATTAAATTTAGATTAGACCAACGTGCATATGATAAATCTACATCCTCTAACATGAAACCCTTTATGGAAGAGTTAGCTTTTTTTTTGAATTGTAATTTAACTACTTATGAAAATAAAACAGTCGCGTGCTTCGCGAGTAAATTTATAGCTATATCCTTAGCTTGCTATGAAATAACCCTGCGTTATTTTTTTATAGCTTGCGCATATATAAAAAAATTTACTAGGGTAGCTTGCTAAGGATCAGCATTTATTAAAAAAAAATAACGCAGCAGAAGTTTTATCTTTATATGTTTCTTCTATTGATAATATTAAAAGAATTATTAACTATTTTGATAAATATCCTTTAATAGGAGATAAACTTAATGACTATAATAAATGAAAAATCGTTTATAATATGATAATATCTAAATAACATCTATCTGAACAAGGTAGTGCTTACTTCGTAGCACAAAAATTAGAGCTTTAATAAATAAATTTTAATCATGTAAGTGCCTTCTTTAAATTTAACCAATTGCTGGAAAACCCTTAATAAAGGATAATCAGCAGGAAATTAAGAGATTATAAATTATCTTTTAATATCTTCAGAGACTAAACGTTAAAAATAAATACGTTATTATAACCTATTTGTTAAGATATAGTCCAACAAATATAGAAATATATTTTTATTATTGACTTACTTAGGTAACCACACTACAGCAGTACAAAAAGGATTAAACCTAGGTGTTATATTATTTATAGTATCAGAAGCTTGCTTCTTCGTAGCTATATTTTGAGCATTCTTCCATAAAGCATTGTGGATAGTAGCCAAATTCCGGGGACACCCTAAAGCTCTAATAACTAAACTTTTCACGGAAACTTTTAAAGCGGCCTGATTAATGACTCAGGGTATAGTAACATCATTAGAGATTATTGATTTAAATCAATGAATGGGCAATCGTGGATCTAAATCAGATAGTTTTATATCTGTAAAAGAGCAACGAGTAGACGGTTACTCAATATCATCTAGATATTGTAAGGTGTATTCTAACAACCAGAGAAATCTGGTATTTCGACTTAATAATAAAAATATTCTACTTAATATTTGGCCAGCTCTAGGGTCATTTAATAATTTTTATTCTAAAACTCCCAGCATAGCGCCCTTTTCTACTAAAGTATCCAGGTTAAATCCATATTATGTTACAGGATTTACCGATGGAGAAGGATGTTTTTTCGTAGGAGTTAGTCCAGATTCTAAAAGTAAAACCGAATTTAGAGTAAAAGCTATTTTTCAAATAGGTGTGCATATCAAAGATATCGCTCTACTAGAAGAAATAAAATTATTCTTTAATGTAGGTAATATTTCTAAATTAGGTTCAGATTCTATACAATATAGAGTGACAGGTGTTAATGATTTAAAAGTTATTGTTAATCATTTTGACCAATTTCCTTTATTAACTTATAAACAATCCGATTATTTACTTTTTAAACAAGTAGTCGAACTAATTGAAGAAAAAAAACATTTAACTTTAGAAGGTTTAAATTGCATTATATCTATTAAAGCTTCATTAAATAGTAAAAAAATAACCGATGACTTAAAATCTGCTTTTCCTAATATAATACCAGCTTTAATACCCCAAATTAACGCTACCCCTTGCCTTGCCATGCAGCAATGCAGGGTGCGCAAGCTAGCGAAGCGGGGAGAAATCAAAGATTTAAATTGATTAGCTGGTTTTACTGACGCAGAAGGGTGCTTTTTTATTGCATTAAAAAAGTCTTTATCTTCTAAATTAGGAGAAGCAGTTTGATTAAAATTTATTTTAACTCAACATATTAGAGATAATGTGTTTTTACATTCTTTAATATCTACTTTAAATTGTGGTAGATATGTAACTAAACCAGGATATGGAGAATTTATAGTAGAGAAGTTTAAAGATATAGATGAAAAAATCTTACCTATATTCGAAACCTTTAAGTTGCACGGGGTAAAGTCTAAAGAATATGAAGATTTTAAAAAAGCAGCAGCTATAATAAGAAATAAAGACCATTTAACGAGAGAAGGTCTAGATAACATAAAAAAAATAAAGGGACAAATGAATAAAAATAGAAAACATTAAGATTATAATATTATAATATAGACGAAAACATATCTTATTTAATTATAAGATAACAATGAGTGCTTTAACACCTACTGTAGAACTAGGTGCTCAATGACCACCTATGGGTATAGAACCAGTAAATCCTTTTGGTAGATAAGAATTCAAGGGGCCATCGGAAGTCGATCGATGTGAAAAGGGCAAATTGCGGGAACATTTAAAAGAATAATATATATATCAGGTATATATTCAAAAATATAATATCTTTTAAACAATCCGCAGGTTTTATCTATAAATATAAATATGATGATATCATATAGGGTTAATTATAAACTCTATGTGAGTTAAATAAATTTATAAACTTATAGTTGGACTTCAACGATCAAACGCCCTTATATAAATTACCTAGAGTAATCTTTTATATAATTAATTATTCCACCTACATATAATAAATTATTATATACCCTGAAATGGTGAATCGACATATAATTAATAGATTATTCCCCAGACTATTAGCTATTTAACACGAATAAGTCAAGGGCTACCTCTAGGAATATTTATATGTGATATGATCTAATCTAATTATTATTAGTAATAGAAAGTTTGAAAAACTTACCTTTTCGACAGAATCCGACT